GAAGATTCCCTGCAGAGGAGAGGAGAGGACATCCAGCATAAAACCAGCTGTCATGGCAGGAGAAACAGCTGGAGACACATTTGCCCCAGACAAACCCTAGACTATGCATTTCTGAATTTACTTTTAACAAAGTCTATCCATTTCTGCCTCGTATCGCGGTGTCAGTGGCAGCAAGGTAAACAAGGTAGACCAGACGTCTCTCACCCCAGCAACATTCCCCAGCTCTTCCCGGGGATCCCGAGGCATTCCCAGGCCAGATGAGATTTATAATCTCTCCGGCGTGTTCTGGGTGGACCCCGGGGTCTCTAAAGGAAGGCACAGCGGAGGGTCCTGATCAGAAGCCTCAACCGGCTCCTCTCAACATTAAGGAGCAGCAGCTCTACTCCGATTATGAATAATGAAAATACTGCGTTGGAGAGCGTTAAACAAAACAGTTATTTGTTTTTGTTTATGTCTACGGGGCCCGTGTTGTTGAGTCTCACCATGCAGACGGCGGGCGTGATGAAGGACCAGCACCACTTAATCCAGGGGAACGGCCGGTAGCCAATCATAAGGGCCACATCGTCCATGAAGCGGTCGGCACCTGCAGGAGAGACGGAGCAGGGGATCTGATAATACTGCAGGAATATCATACATATATAAATGACTTGTTGTGATGTACTTCACTATGTCGTTTTCTCTGATATTTTAAAGTATTTCTTCGACATACAATACTGGGACCATTTATTCGAGATAAGTTGTCTTTTCAGATATTTCCGACATTCTATACTATGAGACCCTTAAATCTTTACTGCTCATAAAAGACAAATTATACTACAACTTTTTGTCCTGACAAACTATAGTGCTATACTATTACTTTGAGATACTTTAGTGTTTTTTTCTGAGATTTTCGACAAACTGTACTATGATGTATTGTTTTTTATAACTTTCTGTGCAGAGGTCGCGTTAACCGAATATCTTCCGTCTATTTTTTAACAATGACGGAAAAATTCTGAAAGCAGTCCGTCATTTTGACAGATTAGAACAAACTCAGAACAGCACCAAAGCTTCCCCGCAGCGAGGCTCAGGTGTTATGCCGTGTTATGCATGCCCGCCAAAAGGGAATGATATTGTTTCCAAACCTAACTTTGCCGAACAAATCATTAATATGTCTGTGAGCTTTTGCTTTACGCTGTGGCGCGCTCCCGCGAGGTGCAGTGAGCGTGCATAACACGGCATAACACCGGCGCTAACAGTTCACGAGCATGCTCTCTCTCCCCCACCCCCCCCCCCCCACCACCCAAAATGACGGGCAGCGAAAAAGTCTAGCGCAACCTCTGGTACTCTGATATGTTAACACGTGCCCGTCTCATGACACACTGCGTCACACCACAGTGTTTTGAACTTTGAAAAACTATACTTTAACAAAGTGAACTGTGACCTTCTTTACTGTAACACCATATTACACAACTATTCACACACCTATTTTAGAGATCAGATCCTTTACCATGGCACACCATACTTCACTGTGAAACACTACACTGTGTGTGCGTGTGCGTGTGCGTGTGCGTGTGCGTGTGCGTGTGCGTGTGCGTGTGTGTGTGTGTGTGTGTGTGTGTGTGTGTGTGTGTGTGTGTCACATACCGTAGACCCAGGCAACTACTATGCATTCCCAGAATGCTTGCCACAACAGACTCATCCCACTGGCTGAATAATAGTCAAATAATTGGAAGACGTACATCCCCGCCTGCAGAAACCAAGAGAGAGATAAACAAATACAAACACATGTAAATAAGATCATTCTTTATTCGTGTCACAACATGGGAGTTTGCATCATCGCAAAGCAAAGAGACTGCAATAGACAAGAGGAAGTATAAAAGTAGTCCCGGTGGATGCAACAAAGTACATTTACTCAAGTATTAACAATGAGGTAGTTGCAGCAGCATAAAAAACAAGGCTTTGAACATAAGTAGAAATTAAAAGAGTAGAAATAAACAATTCTAAAATGTAAACATCTCAAAATAGAAATCAAACAGCAAGTTGACCGTGAAGATAAAAAGTCTATAAACTGTCTGACAAATAAAACACTATTGAAGTAAATACAATATAAAGTAGGATATTAAATACATTGAGTGTGTGGAATATTACATTAAATATAAATGTGTAATGTACATTGTGAGTTTGAGTCCAATGTTATGCTTCTGGATACTTCTACTCCATTACATTTTGGAATCAAATACTACTACAATGATGTATTACCCACACTACTTTATTCACTTTTCTGAATAATAATATAGAGTTTAAAACACTATAGTGAAAAGACTATCAAATCTAACTTATTGCATATCTGATATGTGTTGTTGCAGAGCATATTAAACTGCACATTAATATACATTGTTTATATTTGAATCTTAAAGGGGATAGGTCCCCTTTAAGATTCAAATATAAACAATATATATTAAATTGACATGATAGGTCATGTAAAATGCACTTTTTGATGTCTTTTATACATAAATATGTGTCCCCGGTGTGTCAGGGAACTCACGCAGCGTCAGAAAATAAAACCCTCTCTTTTCCTCCGTACCCAAATCTCTAAAAACGGGGCTACAACGGAGCTGATCCAGATTTGCGTCCGATATGACGTAATATCTGAAATGTGGACCCACGGCCCTATCAGAAACGTTGCTATCAGAAACAATGCCTGACTGTTTTGGACGTAATATGGTCGATGTTTACATTAGCATCGCTAACACTCAGAGCTAACCTGTACTGGAGAGCATGTGTGTGAAGAAGCAGGAAATGAAAAGGAACTCACCTTGTGGTATAACCGGCAAGAGAGAAAGCCTTTGAGCTCCATACTGTTTCAGAAAGAATCCTTGATAATCCATGATATGGCGTTTCATCACGGCAGTATTTAGTTTAGACAGTAGCTGCCGGGTCCCGCATGAGCTCAGCCCCCTCCTTTTTTATTTTTTTAAAGCTTTATACCCCAAATCAGCACTTTAGAAACAGGAAGTGAAATAGAGGGATATGAGGCATGGCTAGAATGGGTGATCTGTTTGGTATTTTGAGCAAAACACTTCATAGACATGTTTTTTATATATTTGTATATATCTGAGACCTATGCCATTGCCTAAAAATAGCATGATAGGTCCCCTTTAATGTTGTAGTTGCAATTCAATGTGCACATTTAAAATGTAACTTCTCATGTTTATATACATATGTAATATTATCTTGTTAATGCAATCTTTAATTTAACTTCTTAGTTCATATACTTTTTTCTTAAATTATTTATCTTATAAATACATAAGCAAAACCCAAGTTCCTTATAAAATAAATGATAAACAAAGTATTTTGATTATGATTTACGCCAAATATACCCAATTAATCACCTTTCTTTTCAGCAAGTTCAGTCATAACTTCAAATCTCTGAATTTACTTTTCTTGCTACAACTTCTAAATGAAAAAGACAGTTTCTCTAATCGTTTTTTTTGCATATCCGTAGAACCAGACGTTTGTTCTGTACCTGTGTCACCATGGAGAGATCGATGATGAAGCACAGCAGGCAGCACACGGCCACAGAGATTTCCCTTTTGTAGCGGAATTGGCTTTTCCCAGGAAACAGATCCAGGATTCCCGTCACGAAACCCTCCACGCCCACGAACTGGAGACAAACACAGAGACACAGGAATATAAAACACATGGAGAGAGATAAGAGAACTTACATTACACTTGCATTTATATATTCAGTTTAATGTTTAATATTCCTTCCCTCACATACTTATGTATATATAATAACTCAAAAAAGTACTTCTTATCTTATAGGTCCCCTATTATACTGTTCTTCCTCAATATATCACAGGTCTCAGATATATACAGAGCCTGTCTCTGATTGGCTGAAACACCAAACAGATCATTGCAGCATCCCATAATCCCCTCTGTTTCAGCCCTGTTTCCAAAGTGCTGATTCTCTGTCTGTTACTTTAGATGGTAACTGCTACCATCTGATGGAGATTCAATAAAGTCAGACTGAAGCATCCTTAGTGCTCCAGTCGGTCCTCTCAGTAAACACAGAGCTGAGTCCAGATCAAATGCACGCTATGCTCGATGAGCAGCTTGTCTCTCACTGATCCTGCTGTTATGTTAAATGTTTGTTGTTTGTTCTTCATGTATTGTGTCTTGATATGTGTTGATGTTACACATGGAGCTGCTGTGATACAAGTCACATTTCACACTTGATCTGACCATTGAGGTATTATCGTATATCGTACAAGAAGTGAATTTAGTTTCCTGACCTGACTGTCGAGTCCCAGCAGCAGCAGCATGAAGAAGAAGAGCGCGGCCCACAGAGGAGCCACCGGCATCAGACTCACCGCCTTCGGGTACGCAATGAAGGCCAGACCTGGACCTGAAACACACACACACACACACACAGGAAGTCAACCCTGAGCGGATGAGAGCAACGCTGGGTGATATGCTACGTTCTTTATGAGTGCGGCGGAGTGGAGACTGATCTGTGATTGGCTTGTTATTTTTCTTTAAGCAGATGATTCTTTAAATGATTCTCTTTTATTCTATTCTGTCTTTTTATACATGAATTAAATATTTGTGTGCGTGTAATTACATCTGAGCTTTAGTGGACTGACCCTTTAAACCTTTGCATGTAACATGTTTGTCTTGATTGACAGGTGCATCATCCAATCAGCAACTCCGTGTGTAAAACGTAAAGTGAATTTAATTTAACATTTAAACAGTCCTGCTGAGTCCTGATATTAAAGGAGCATTATGCACATTTACAACAGCACTACATCCACTGATTATTCTCATGAAATAAGGCAAGAGGGCCTCACAAACACACACAGACACACTCTCTCACACACACAGACACACACACGCTCATACTTTAAACCAATGTAAACGTGTCAGTAGAGTCAATTGGATTTACTTTTGTTCCTTTTGCAAAGAGGTTCAAATAAAAAGATGCATGTCATCACGCTGAAGCAACTGCTGCCATTTACTCACAAGAACACACACACATGAACACACACACACACACACACGAACGCACACACATACACACACACACACACACACACACACTTAATCCCTGTCATTAACGCCATAAGTCAGAGGTGCACGAGGCTATTTTATTTAAAACTGCTTCCCTGCACGCCTTACTCAGCAGTCTGACGCACAAGATGTTTTATTCAAAGTAAGACTCACACTGTAGTAACAGCTCTCGTGATGGAGGGTAAAGAATGAATGAACAAAGTAGGAGAGAATAAATGAATTTATGAGAAGAACGTGAATCCTTGAGCTCTGCAGCGCGAGGCCTTCTGTGGAGACACTAAATATAACCGGGAGTTTGTGATGTCACATCGTCATGTGCTGCAACGCTATTAATACACATACAGTTGGCTAACCACACACACACACAGCCACACACACACACAGCCACACACACACACACACACACACACACACACACACACACACACACACACACACACACACACACACACACACACACACACACACACACACACACACACACACACACACACACACACACACACACACACACACACACACACACACACACACACACACACACACACACACACACACACACACACCTCTGTTCTACTTGTGAAATGTTCCTTTTGTACTCAAAACGCCTCACAGTGAGAGGACTCATTGTGAGAGGACGTTATTTCCCAGAAATCATGATAACAAAAAAACACATTTTCAGGACTTTCAGGAAGGAATAACTGGTATAAAAACGGACTAAATTGTTGTTTATTTTGGGGATTTTAACCATTTCAATGTCAGTTTCTGTTGGTGTTTCTTAAAAAGAGACAAAAAGCCAATGTTTTAAATACTTTTAAAACACTTTTCTCCTAGGGGAGCTCCTTGTATAACCCTGTGGCTTCTCAGAATTTTTTGATGAGTGTTTTATTGTGTGTGGAAATGTAATATAAAATAACAAATTGCAGCCAAAAGGCCTGAATATTTCCAGTTTGATCCTCCTGTGTGGGAGCGTTAACCTCCGACTGATATAAAGAGCTTTTGTTCAGCAGCCTCTGAGGTTTAAAGGTATTCAGGAAACTAACTGGAGCTGCTGAAAAGCCACGATATCTTTCTTTCCTCATGAGAAAGAGATAAATAGTGTGTGTGTGTGTGTGTGTGTGTGTGTGTGTGTGTGTGTGTGTGTGTGTGTGTGTGTGTGTGTGTGTGTGTGTGTGTGTGTGTGTGTGTGTGTGTGTGTGTGTGTGTGTGTGTGTGTGTGTGTGTGTGTGTGTGTGTGTGTGTGTGTGTGTGTGTGTGTGTGTGTTTGAGAGGAACAGCTGGTGTTTGTACTTCATGTTTTACCTGATTCAGCGACCTGTGAGATGTGAACTCCCTGCTCGTTAGCCATGAAGCCCAGAATAGAAAACACCACGAAGCCGGCGAAGAAACTCGTCCCGCTGTTTATCATCGCCAGAACAAACGCATCTCTGCAGGACAGGAGAGACGGGGGGACGGGGGGGAATAAGATATGATTATAGACAATAAAGCACATTTCATACAAAGAAAGGCATCAAAAAGTGCTTTGCAATATTGGGAAGTCGAGCTAGAATTCACCTCAAAAAGGAAAAGTGAATGGCAATAAATCACTCATAACATTTAAAACATAAAACATAGATATTTATACATGTTATTCATACGGAAAAATAACAAATTATTCAAATCAGTGGATAGGAGTTACACCATTTGTTGGCGGTGCAAAAATGTTTTAATGTTGATTTCCCCCGTTATGCACAATGCAACTGTGTAGTATCAATGAGGTGTATATTAGTATTATTGATTTATTTCACTTAGGGTGTTTTCATTTCGAGCCTTAGTTTAAAAAAAACACAGTCAGAACATTTATTATATTGTGAAATCTTCAGTGATGGGATGTAATTGTACATTACTGTAACTCAAATGCTGTAACGTTTGAGATCAAGTTAAAGTTTCAGATACTTGTTGAAGTTTGAGATACTTGTACTTTACTAGAATATTTCCATTGATGCAACTTCTACTCCAAAGTATCTCAAAGGTAGATATTCTACTGTTTGCTCCACTACAATAATCTGACAGTTTTTTGATCAATGAAGGATAAAGTGTTCCTTTACTTGTTCAGAAAACTCTCCTTGTTCTTCAGATAAATAAAGTCTTTAAAACGCCTCGTTGATCAGCTGGAAAATGCATCGTCACAAAGCTGAAAGCAGGGATGATTTCTCATGAAAAGCTGTATTTCTTTATAGATTCCCACAGGAGAAAGCTTCACACATGATGAGGGTCTTACAGAATACCATGCCTTTCTGCAGTAAACGGTAAATGGACTGTACTTATATAGCGCTTTATCCAGTCTTTACGACCCCTCAAAGCGCTTTACATACTACATGTCATTCATAGGGCTGTCCCGAATACCATTTTTCGGGCTCCGGATATTCGGTAGTAATCAGCAGCAAATAATCGAATATTCGGCCCGCGTGGGGTGCGTAGTAATCAGCAGCGAACCGCTTCAACACGTGTATGTCGGTTTATTCACGGCATTCATTTTGTTATTCTACAGTATTGTTGTTTTATAGTTATTTATATAAATAACGTATAATGTAACCCAATTTCTGTTCTTTGAAATTGAAAAGGATATCGCATTGTGTTTGTTACTTTCGTTGCAGTTGTATATGTCTTAAGTTTAATTTGGCTTGGCTTCCTATTTTGTATGGACATGCTTTTATTTTGAAGGAGAGTTAGTGCTGTTGACAAGACGTTGTTGTTGCTATGGAAACAACGTGACGGAGATAAACGGAGAAAAAGTCATATCTACACATAAAGACGGAGGAAGTAAACGATAACGTTTATGGTTAAATGTTAGCACCCCCCGAAGAGGCACTAGCTCTTACGTTGATATTGGAGATTTCAATAAATAAAAAAAAAATTTAAAACGAATATCCGAATAACGAAATTGAAACCCGAATAGTACTCCAACGAACGAATACTCGGATATTCGGATATTTGGGTACAGCCCTAGTCATTCACCCATTCATACAGAGCAGTGTACCTTAGCCTAGGATCTAACATTCACACACATTCAAACTCAGGGTTAAGTATCTCGCCCAAGGATTCATCGACATGCTGGCTGCACGGGCTGGGGAATCGAACCCATAACCTTCTGGTTGAAAGACGACCGCACCCCCTCGCAGCCACAGTAAACGGTTGATAAAGGAGGTAAAAACGTAAACTCGTACTTGTAGCAGTCGTTGTTGAAGCGGTTGTAGCTCCCCAGAGCCGTCAACGCTCCGAGGCCGATGGCGTACGAGAAGAAGATCTGAGTGCCGGCGTCGATCCAAACCTGGAGAGAGATCAGAGGTCAGAGGTCAGAGGAGAGTGAGGCATTCACTGCTCAGCTCAACATCGGGGCTTTTTACTGTATAACTTGTTATATATTCAAGACTTCTGGAGTAACACTGAGACCAAGACATAGATAGGAACAAGGGAACAATTATTATTTATTTATTAACCCTATATTTCATAAATCTATTTATCAATTTGTAAGGTTAATGTCCTCCATTTCCTTCTTTCCTGCTATTATTTACAATAATGAAGCTTCATCATCTCATTATAGACACAATTAAAGACGCATCTTAATGGGCCTAAAGCGTTTGTGCTCATGGTCGTTTTTTATCTTGTCTTTTCCTTTATTTCATTTGATTTCTGAGTTTTTGAAAATATTTTAGCATTTGTTTTTGTATTATTATCTTCTAATGAATACTCAAAAAGAGTCTGAGCAATGACACAACACAAAATGACCTGTTATGATCATAATTGTCATCATCATCCGTCTTAGTAATAGTAATAATAGGTTTTATAGTGATAATATTTAGATTAACATATTCTTAAATATAAGAAAAAATAACAATAATACTAAAAAATAGACACATTTGAAACAAAAGTCAATTAATATTCATTTAAATGTACCAACAATCTTTAAGATGCTATTATTTTACAATTAAAAAAAAAACGCATTTTAAGGTTTTTTTCCCTCTGCGTTGTTTTCCAGGCAGCGTGTTTATGTCTTATTTCTGTGTTAAAAACAGTCTAATTCTCACTATGCATAGGGACTGCATTACAACAAGGTGATATCTCTCTATAGTTAGTTATGAGTGGTTTCAGACTCTGGTTTGGTTCTGGTTCTGGCACCAGGTTTTCCCTGAGAGTCAGGATTCAGGGCAGCAGTAAACCCACACTGACCTGAGCTTCCCACAGTTTGGACCAATCAGGTTTGATGTAGAACATGATGCCGTCGTAAGCTCCAGGAAGTGTGACGCCTCGCACCAGCAGGATGATGAGGACGACGTAGGGGAAGGTCGCCGTGAAGTACACAATCTACACACACACACACACACACACACACACACACACACACACACACACACACACACACACACACACACACACACACACACACACACACACACACACACACACACACACACACACACACACACACACACAACACACACACACACACACACACACACACACACACACACACACACACACACACACACACACACACACACACACAACATGTTGATTTAATAGCAAGGCAAGGCAAGTTTTTTTATATAGCACCTTTCAACACAAGGCAATTCAAAGTGCTTTACATAAATGAAAGACATTAAGAAAATGGCATTTAAAAACAGTCATTAAAAGGCAGAGATAATAAAATAAACATTAAAAGAAAAAATACACAAATAAAAGTTATAGTGCAGTTCAAGATATGGATAGTTAAATTAAAAGCAGCGGCAAAAATAAAAGTTTTCAGCCTGGATTTAAAAGTAGTCAGTGTTGCAGCGGATGTTTAATTAATAATTGTTTTCCTCTGCACTTTGGTATCATTCACATTAAAACATGTCAATGGATATTGTTGCAATTCCCTTTATTATGTAAAAAGAAACACTGTAATCATAATTCAATGTTATATATCATCAGTTGTTCCCTCCTCTCTCACCTTTAACCTCCTCATTGTGACAGTAAATCAACACCAATGGCCCAGAGGGGGAAAAGAGAAAGATTGAGGCTCCATCGCGAGAATCAGGTTTAAAAAAAACAACTGTGAGAAGGAAAGCAAACATGAATCTGATCTGAGGAAACAAAAGCAGATGAAACCTGCTGTGACTGACACACACACACTGACACACACACACTGACACACACACAGAAATGTGCAGTTTCAGCACCATGGAGAGCGTCTGGTCCCAGGTGGAGTCGAGTTTCAGTCATCTCACAGCTGAGGACATTTTTATACAAATCCCACACACCCTCAGGTTAAAACATACACACACAGCCACACACACACACAGAGCCACACAGCCACACAGCCACACAGCCACACAGCCACACACACACACAGCCACACACACACAGCACACAGCCACACAGCCACACAGCCACACACACACACACACACACACACACACACACACACACACACACACACACACACACACACACACACACACACACACACACACACACACACACACACACACACACACACACACACACACACACACACACACACAGCCTCAACACACACAGCCTCATATACACAGCCTCACACACACACAGCCTCACCCACAGCCTCACACACACAATGACACACTGAGGTGGTTGAGTTCATTGAGGTTGAGCCGTAAAAATTATTGCAATGATCCGTTTCTAACCTTTAAAGTATTTACAATGTAAATGAAAACGAGTTGTGCACAGCACACCTCTCCTTTATTTAACTTTTTTTTCTTTTTTGCTTTATTAAATGTCCGATCAGTTTTAATAATAGTTTCCACTCTTTATATTTGATGGTTAATCACAGAGAGGAACAAAAAACCATAATAGGGCCTCTTTAATCTTTTTTTTCAAGATACGCCAATGCAACTTCGTAGTAACATTAGGTTTGTTATTATTATTTATATTATTAGTATGGATTTATTTCAGATTTTACACCAAAAATCTTTTTTCAATGCAGCTTTAATTAATTACATAATAATAATACATTTGATTTATATAGCGCTTTTCCTGGTGCTCAAAGCGCTTAACATACATGATTAGGTTTTATTTTAAAACTCATACAATATATTCTAAGCTGATATTGCTCTATTGGAGCAGCTTTATGAATGAACTCTCTCTCTCTCTCTCTCTCCCCTGTTGTCTCTCGCCCCTCTGTCTCTCCAACACTCATCTTTCAGCCTCCTGCTGACCGTCAACAATAAACTGTTTCTGTTGGTACTGAGAGCCGTGTGAACTCTGTTTGGTTTGTATTGAGACCAGAAACACACACACACACACACACACACACACACACACACACAGTACAGTAGCAGGTATTTCTGAGTGTGTGACTCTCAGTCACGTCCCACTGCAGTCAGGCTGCCCTCCCTCAGGACGACCAATCACAGAGCGCCACCTCACTGAGCCCCACCCCCTGCCGTAGTCAGGGCAACGCTTAGTCCTGCCATGTGACAGCAGTGTGTACGACGGTCACCGTCGTGAGCCAATGACACACACACACACACACACACACACACACACACACACACACACACACACACACACACACACACACACACACACACACACACACACACACACACACACACACACACACACACACACACACACACACACACACACACACACACACACACACACACACACACACACACACACACACACACACACACACACACACACACACACACACACACACACACACACACACACAGTGAATCACAGCTTTTCTGTCTCTTTCCTTTACACTCATTTGATGGATGGATTTTTTAGGGAACAAATCTTTTTTTTGTTTTAAAGTATAAGCCAACGTTTTTATGGAAAGGTAAGACAATCAGCAAAACACAAGACACTAAAGTACTTTATATTCTGTTCGGTTTGAACCTCAGATGTGCTGAAAACCTACCAAATCTATTTCTTTTTTATTCTATTTTTTTGGGAGGCAGTTATAAAAACCTTAAAATAAACTGAATCAAACAGAAGGCAGGACAGACTGACAGCAGATGTGTGGTTTGGGTTACATTGTCTCTGCTATTGACATGATGTAGCTGTATAGATCAGTCAGCTGTCAGGTGACCTCTTGACATTCAGCTGTGTTTTGTAATCCCAGCTGTTGCTCGTTTCACAAACTGGCACTGTGTGTTCTTGTTTTAATGACATTGTGGGGACCTGGTAGCACACCAACATTATGGGGACTCATCTCAAATTAGGCCCCCTAAAGGGTAATTTATTAACCTCTTAAGCCCTGAGCCTGTTTTTCAGGTCTCAGGCTCGAAAATGACATTCCCAGAACAAATGACCATATCTTCCCTTCTAAAAGGGTTAAATTAATAATCTTTATTCTCAAAGTAATGATAAACCTGTGAGTTGGATGTAGAAAAGTCAGAATCAATATAGATGTTTTTTATTTTTTAGAAAATTCAGATTTTACATAGTAAAAAACTGTAAATTATAGTGTCCGTCCAAAAATTCTTTTTTACTTATAGTGAAAACTACCCTTGGATGATGGGTTAGTAGACTAAAAGCTTTAGGAATCCAAAGTACAACATATAATAAGTACCCTGTATCAAGATTGATGCAAAACAAGTGAAATTTGACCTTTTTAAGAGAGATTTAGCCAAAAACCCCACTTCTGGGGTCATTTGGGTGGATTTGACCTATCTCTGGCCCCCCTTGCTCGATTTTGATGAATGAAATCTCTTTATAACCGCTAGAGCCAATGGAATCGAGGGAAAGTTATATACACACCAAAACGTTAACAAATAAGGAGTGAGAGTGACGCGTTACCAAAACCGGAAGCTGCATACACTCTGGTGGCTACCATTAGCAGCTAACTTTTCCGCTCCGATTTTTACATAAAAAATGGAATTATGGATTATAAATAATTTCTTCAAAGGTACAGGTACATTATCAACCTATGGATCAACAGTTGTAGCCTTTTTTTTTTTTTTTTAATGCCATTGAACACGTCTTTTGACCTAATTGACAGCTACGGTGAGATGATCTGCCGTAAAATCTCCGTAAAGGTACGTGTTGTGATGTCTGTGTTTGCTTCCCCTGTCGCAAGTTCGGATCACTCAGTGATGATACTATACCTAAATAATCAGTGGAGTCTCAGCTTTAATCGGCTATATTGTATGTGCAGCTACGATACGTAATAAGGGTATCTTTATCTTGAATTGTGTGCCGCAGTGCGTTCGAATTTTTTCGCTCAGGGGTCATTTAGACGCTTCTTATGAGACTTGTGATTTTGTTTTGGTAAAAATGGTTCATATCTTCAGTTAGCTGAGATTCTTCCCGTTAATCTGGTGCTACACATTAATAGTTTCATAAATGTTAAGAAGCCCTGAGACATTATCTCGAAAACAAAACGGTGGGAGGGGTCCAATGGGGGGACCGCCGTGCTTAAGAGGTTAAGAGTCCTAAAAAATAAATGTTATACCTATTAATATTATATATACATATTATTATAATAAAATTTAAAAAAGAGGAGACGGAGCTAATGCCTGATCAGAATTCTACCGGAGATAGAAGTTAAAGGGGACCTATCATGCAAAATGCACTTTTGTACGTCTTTTATACATGAATATGTGTCCCCGGTGTTCCAGGGAACTCACCAAGTGTCAGAAAACACAACCCTCTCTATTTTCCTCCATACCCAAATCTCTAAAAAAGGGGCTGCAACGGATCTGATAAAAACTGATCCAGATTTGAACACTGTCCTGACGTCAGGACGATGGCGCTACGGCTATTGGGCCAACTCCACCAATCAGGAGGAGACAGCCACGGCCATTACCGTTCGAAAGCGCTGGAGACGCTGTAGTACATATGCCAGGCCTGTAAGTGGGTGAGTTCCTTTTTTTATTTCCTGCTTTTTAAACACATGTGCTCTCCAGTACAGGTTAGCTCTGAGTGTTAGCGAGGCTTGCTAATGTAAACAAAGACAAGATTACGTCCAAAACACGTCAGGCATTGTTTCTGATGGCAACTCTCTGTGGGTCCGCCATCCAAAATTACGTCATATCGGCAGCTCGTTGTGCCCCCGTTTTTAAAAGATTTGGGTACGGAGGAAAAGAGAAAGGGTTTTATTTTCTGACGCTGCGTGAGTTCCCCGACACACCGCGGACACATGTTTATGTATAAAATACATCAAAAAGTGCATTTTGCATGATAGGTCCCCTTTAACTTGAACATTTTCTTTATTTAATAACTAATAATAAATTATTTGTTATTTATACTACTTATAAGATAGTAAAATATGTTCATATTATTGTATTAAATATCTTGTTGGGAGTAACCTCCCTTAAGGTCACGAACCTTGGGATACATTTGGAGAATAAATGACAGTTCCAAGGATTTAGTTTGATATAAAATATTGGAGTTTGTATAGTGCATGCAGTGTGCTTAGATTATAACTAATGAATACAACATAAGAACTTTTTGCATCACTGGAAAATGTAAGTAGTGAGGGGTGATTCAGAGGACTGGAAATAGTATAGAAGTGTCCTAATAAATGTTCATGTTGCATAGAAATAAAGGAAATCTTACATTTGACAGGAACAGTATAAAATAGTACATAAATAAACATAATTTATTGTCAGCAAAAGATGAAATGTGTGTTTACCTTCCCAGTGGATTTGACTCCCTTCCACACGCAGAAGTAAACCATGACCCAGACGGCGATCAGACACAACATCAGCTCCCAGTTAAACTCTCCAGTTTCCCCCAGACCAGAGGAGATGTTCAACACCTTGTTCCTGCACAGAGAGAAAATAAAGGTTAACATCACAGATAAGATAAGAAAACCCTTTATTGATCCCAATCGGGAAATCCAGGTGACAACAGAGGCATGAAAGTGAAGCACAGGAGAGGTAAGAGTGCAACAGTAGTAACAGCGTAAATAAGTAACAAAGGAAAAGAAAAACGAGATAAAAGGACTAGTTGAGTTCACACATGAGTTAAGATAATGATGAATATTAATACTTATTTAGACATGTCCGTGTGCAAGTGGGAGTCCAAAGTATATACGGTAGGTCTCAAGCAAAGTAGTGTTTATTTTATTTATGTTGTTTTATTGTAGTTTATATCCCTGCCCGTCTTGTTAAGTAGATGGCATTGTCATCACCATTCATAAACATCAAATGCCAGTTTTTTAAATATGGTTCATCAAGACCGTCTGGTCTTCAACCTTCCTAAATTCTCCCACACCACACCGCTCCTCCGCTCCCTTCACTGGCTTCCAGTAACTGCTAGAATCCACTTCAAGACACTGGTACTTGTGTACCATGCTGTGGATGGATCTGGCCCTTCCTACATCCAGGACATGGTTAAACCATACACCCCAGCACGTGCACTCCGCTCTGCATCAGCCAAACTGCTCGCTGCACCCGCACTGCGAGGGGGACCCAAGTTCCCATCAGCAAAAACACGTGGGTTTGCTATCCTGGCTCCAAAATAGTGGAATGAGCTCCCCATTGACATCAGGACAGCAGAAAGCTTTCACATCTTCCGGCGCAGACTGAAAACTCATCTCTTTCGACTCCACTTCGAGCAATACAATTACTAACAAAGCACTTATATACTAACAAAGGACTGGCTTATCTAAAGCCAGTTGAGTAGCACTTGAACTGTTTTGGCTCTATGAAACCTGATGTACTTATATGATTCTGTTTTCTTCAAGTTTGTATCTTCTTGGTCGAATGCACTTATTGTAAGTCGCTTTGGATAAAAGCGTCAGCTAAATGCAATGTAATGCAATGTAATGTAATGTAATGTAATCCCCTTATACGTAAAAAAGCAGGATTGTAGCACAACCTGGAAGTGAAAGCAGTGCTCTGTTTATTTAAAGGAGCCGTATCATGCTCGTTATCAGGTGTATATCAGTATGTAGTGTCTCTACTTTAAAGAGTCCTCTCCTGCTGATGTTCAGGTGTATATCAGTATGTAGTGTCTCTACGTTAAAGAGTCCTCTCCTGATGATGTTCAGGTGTATATCAGTATGTAGTGTCTCTACTTTAAAGAGTCCTCTCCTGCTGATGTTCAGGTGTATATCAGTATGTAGTGTCTCTACTTTAAAGAGTCCTCTCCTGCTGATGTTCAGGTGTATATCAGTATGTAGTGTCTCTACTTTAAAGAGTCCTCTCCTGCTGATGTCCAGGTGTATATCAGTTTGTAGTGTCTCTACTTTAAAGAGTCCTCTCCTGCTGATGTCCAGGTGTATATCAGTATGTAGTGTCTCTACTTTAAAGAGTCCTCTCCTGCTGATGTTCAGGTGTATATCAGTATGTAGTGTCTCTACTTTAAAGAGTCCTCTCCTGCTGATGTTCAGGTGTATATCAGTATGTAGTGTCTCTACTTTAAAGAGTCCTCTCCTGCTGATGTTCAGGTGTATATCAGTATGTAGTGTCTCTACTTTAAAGAGTCCTCTCCTGCTGATGTTCAGGTGTATATCAGTATGTAGTGTCTCTACTTTAAAGAGTCCTCTCCTGCTGATGTTCAGGTGTATATCAGTATGTAGTGTCTCTACTTTAAAGAGTCCTCTCCTGCTGATGTTCAGGTGTATATCAGTATGTAGTGTCTCTACTTTAAAGAGTCCTCTCCTGCTGATGTTCAGGTGTATATCAGTATGTAGTGTCTCTACTTTAAAGAGTCCTCTCCTGCTGATGTTCAGGTGTATATCAGTATGTAGTGTCTCTACTTTAAAGAGTCCTCTCCTGCTGATGTTCAGGTGTATATCAGTATGTAGTGTCTCTACTTTAAAGAGTCCTCTCCTGCTGATGTTCAGGTGTATATCAGTATGTAGTGTCTCTACTTTAAAGAGTCCTCTCCTGCTGATGTTCAGGTGTATATCAGTATGTAGTGTCTCTACTTTAAAGAGTCCTCTCCTGCTGATGTTCAGGTGTATATCAGTATGTAGTGTCTCTACTTTAAAGAGTCCTCTCCTGCTGATGTTCAGGTGTATATCAGTATGTAGTGTCTCTACTTTAAAGAGTCCTCTCCTGCTGATGTTCAGGTGTATATCAGTATGTAGTGTCTCTACTTTAAAGAGTCCTCTCCTGCTGATGTTCAGGTGTATATCAGTATGTAGTGTCTCTACTGTGACATGTTTCCATGCTTTAATGTTCAAAAAGTGGTCGGAGTGTGTTGTACAGAGGAGGAAACAGGGATTTTAGCCTTTGCAGACCATTTACATGCACTAAAAGTTATAGAACACAGTACAGTCCAGGGAAAATCCCACAAAGCATATTAGGTTCCCTTTAAAAGTGAAAATGGTCGTCATGATCTCAATAATTATCAAAATAAAAGGGATTATCATTTACTCCTAGACCTACTTTGTAAACATGAAAGAAAATATAGAATAAAACCATATTTCCCTTTAAAATTAGGACCTGATGTGCCAACAACTAGTTTGATCACTAATCCTTTTACAGTCCTTTATGAGTTTGTATTAAATCTAATCAATCTTTATTAATAGCAATCAAAAGCCTTCTAAATCTGCTTTAATAAGATAGCAATCCTTCTGGATCTGCTGATAAAAGTCTTCTTGTGTAAGTGTGTCAACGCCTTATTTCCTTCTCTGCTTTCCATGTGGACTGTGTTGATGTTTTGGGGGTTATGTAGCAGTGAGGAACACAGCACCGTGTTTCAGACGGGATCAAGAGATTTACACCAGGAGGAGGTTAATCTGCTGCAGCAATAAAACATAATCTGCAGAAATGACAGATAAACTCTAAACTGTAACACGAAGGTCACGTCTTCAGTCTGCAGTTTGAACTCTCTGCATGTTTATATAAGAAAATATCAACTGTAATAAAGCTGCAGCTATTCAATAAGTATTTTATTTACAATTTGTAGTGAAGTGTCTTGGAAACAGTGTCTTGTTCCCTATTTTGCAAGTTTGTTTTCCATTTGAAAGAAGTTTTCTAAGCATTAGTTATAGACAGGATTGAACAATAACAAGTACATTTACTCAGGTACTGTACTTAAGTATAATTTTGATAAACTTTTACTTTTACTTGAATAGTTCCATGTTATGCTACTTTGTACTTCTACCCCCTCTACAGTTCAGAGGTAAATGGTGTACTTTTACTCCACTACATGTATTTAATACCTTTAGTTACTTTACAGATCTGACCCACTACATCTCTGATGGAAATATTGTAAGAAAACAAAGCTACATTATGGCATCAATATTTATAATTCAATAATATGAATGTTCTAAAATTGGCCTTTTTGCAGAATAAGTACTTTCAACGTTAGTGCTTAAATGACATTTTTATGCTTATACTTCGTAAGTAATACGATTTTGAGTGCATGACTTTACTAGCCTGAACATTTTAGCAAATTATTTACGCTTTATATAACCTTTTGTTCTTGTTATTTCCAAACTTTGTGATATATAAGACAAAGCATTCAAATGTGTTTATCGAATTATTAAATAAATGTCTTCATCAAAAGAGTTTTGTTACAGCTTGCAGTGATTTCACAATATAATCCCCATTGTTGTTACAAAATAAACACATGGTTTATTAATAGTTATAACTGTAGGTCTATTAGTTGATGTAATTTCTGATAACAGATGTGTTGCAGCTCTCTGGATATGATAACTATATTGTATTTACAGTAAGTCTATCATTCAGGTTTCTTCAAACTAAAGCTAAGGCCAGTTATCTTTTCCCACTACACCCTTCCTTGTGACTTATATAAATACTATACTGTATGCCTTCTTTTCAGAGGCGGAGAATCACCTGGTAGCGTGACTTTATTAGTTCCAGTAGAATACATAATCAGACTCTGCTGACATGTCTCCTTACAATAAATGCAAGGTGAGACTTTCAGGGGAAAACTGAAATATTTCTGTTTCAGTTCAACATGTGTCAAAGTCTCAAATCTGTAGAGGCATGACAGTTGTAGGAAATCAAGCTTTTGAATTCCTTTCTGCAAAAGAATGTGAAAACTCACTCACAGTGTGAGCAAAGTAGTCCTGTGACCTTTTAACTATGAAAGCAGTGTTAGGAAGAAATACTCATATGCCAGAGACTCAAGAGACTGATGTCTAGAAATGATTCAACCTAAGTGGAAAACAGTTAGGGGATATTTGCAGTGTAATTTAAGATAAAGACGTTTTATTATTTACCCAAAGAAAATAACTCTTCAACATTTCCGAACACAACCCAAATAACCAAACAGAACTACCAACCAAAAATCAAAGAAACATTCCCTTCAAGTCAACAACGACCCATTTACCAGAACCTAAAGAAAACATTTCTCCAACATCCCTTAAGAAAACACGGACCTAATAACAGGATCCCAAAGAAAAACAATTCTTCAATAACCCTCAATGCAAAAACCCACTAACCAGAAGCTAGAGTAGATCATTCTTCAACAACCCCAAAACCCAAAGACCCACCAACCAAAAACCCAGATGAAACCCCAAATTAAATCAGGACTAATTAAAATACCAGTTCCAGTCCAAACCAAACTCACCCAAGCTTACTTGTTCCCCAAAAGCTTACTTCAACTCAAAAACCCTCTAACCAGAACCTAAAGTCAATAATTATTCAACAACCCCAAGACAACAAAGACCCGGAAACCCCAAAGACCCACCAACTGAGAACCAAGATAAAACCCCAAATTAATCAGGACTAATCAAACCAACAGTTCCAGTCCAACCCAAACTCACCCAAGCTTACTTGTTCCCCAAAAGCTTACTTCAACACAAAAACCCTCTAGCCAGAACCTAAAGTAAACAATTCTTCAACAACCCCAAGACAACAAAGACCCACTAACCAAAACCCAAAGACCAAGATAACCCAGATAAACCCCAAATTAATCAGGACTAATCAAAGCAACAGTTTCATTTAAACCTAAACTCACCCATGCTTACTTGTTCCCCAAAAACCCTCTAGCCAGAACCTAAAGTAAACAATTCTTCAACAACCCCAAAACCCAAAGACCCACCAACCAAGAACCAAGATAAACCCCAAATTAATCAGGACTATTCACACCCATGGCCGTGCCCACCATTGAGGTCACCGAGGTCCGGACCTCTGTAATTTTTTCGAGGTGTATATAATAACACTTGTGAAATAACTGCACATAATTAACAGGGTTCTTTGTAGTACTTCCATTTACTGGCGGTGGGGGCGCTGCACAACTAAGTAGCCTACATTAAAGCAAACAGAAGAAGACAACATAAATGTATCAACAAACAGCCGCAGTCCGGACTTGTACCCATGGATGTATAATAAGGGAAGGTGAAATAAATACTTTTCATTAAGTTATTTTCGTGTTGTGTAAATAATGATGTAATGCTTTTGAAAGGCAAAGAATAATTAAAAAAGATATATATGAATATATGCTGAGCCCAGAGTAAAATGCTTTTGTGTGCACACACTACAGGTGAACAGCAAATACCAGTGTGACTTTGGTGACAGTACGACTACCTAGGACAAAGTTATAGTGGGGGTGCCAAATCCAGGCAGCACCAACACCTGGTCTGCCACATGTGGAAGCCCCTCTTTAGTTTCCCACCTGCTGAGCCCAGAGTAAAATGCCTTTGTGTGCACAAAAACATTTGGGGGGGACCTGCCCCCGAGCTCCCCTAGCATGTTTTGGACCTCGGTATTTACGAAATCCTGGGTACGGGCCTGTTCACACCAACAGTTTCAGTTCAACCCACGCTTACTTGTTCACCAAAACCCAAAGGCAAATGAAACAGAACTCACTCCCAGAATTCAATGATGGGCGACCGTGCGTTGGCGAGTTCGGCGCAGGTCATGTTTCCGTTGATAGTATCGTTGGCCAGCGAGCCGTTGATGCAGTCCTGGTGGCGGAAGATCTCGATGCAGTTGGGCGTGTTCCATTCGTTGTCGCAGGTGGACCAAGGGAGGGTAGAGTTAAAGGACTTGATCAGGTAGTAGAAGGCCCAGGCCAACACCATGATGTAGTAGGTGTTGCTGAAAAACACTATCACCATGGAGGCGTAACCCAGACCTGAGGAAGACATGAGAAGAGGGGTCAGAAACTAACCAGGCAACACAAGCTTTGGGAAATACAAATGGAGGATTTCAATTTAATCCACGTTGACTCGTCACACGTGTGCACAGATTCTGTATTTAGCACCTCTTAGTATTGGTACATTCGTAAAATAAGTTGTGTTTTTAGCTTAGTTTGTTGTCCGCTACGCAGGATTAAAGAAGAACTACTGGCCGGATTTTAATTATACTTGGGGAACGGGTGTATCATTCGCCAAGGAAGAACCCATTCGATTTTGGAGTGGATATATATATATTTCCCCTTATGGATGATGATCTTTTTCTAGTGACACAATCTAAATACTCTGAGAACAGATCAATCATCGGGTTGTTGACTGTTGGTGTTGTTTCCTTATAAGTAGGTATGAATGGGAAGGCGGAGCTGTGTCAACACCACCTGAAGTTTAAAGGTCAGAAGAAGGTGGTCTTTGTTGTACACACACACACACACTGAGACACACAAACTAACACACATGTCATTAACAGTCATGTGGTCACCTGTAAAGATCCAGCATCTGATAATCACTGTGTGTGTAACACTAATAGAGATGTAAAGGAATTGGGCGGCATGTAAGAGGGTGTGTGTGTGTGTGTGTGTGTGTGTGTGTGTGTGTGTGTGTGTGTGTGTGCACGTGTGTGTGTGCACGTGTGTGTGTGCACGTGTGTGTGCACGTTTCCCTGGTAATTTTCCAGCCGTGTCTGCAAGCACGTAGACAGCAGCATATCTCAGGTAATCAACTTCAGATAAACTTAGATAGAAATGTGTGTTTGCAGACTGACCTTCACCTGATTACTGCGTCCACAAATGTATACCTGTAGTCAAGACAACGTGACCTCAAACAGGGAAGTCAATGGTTTTAATTTGAAAGAAGTCAATGCCGCTTTTTATTTGATCCCTTAAGAATGTGTGAACACTGTACTTGGACCACTTGTAAAAATGTGTTGATTTACACTCGTTTATGGCCGTGTTTCTGCTGAAATATCATTTGCACAATATCTGTTAAGAGTCTGAGCAGATAGCAGGGTTGCACAATTAATCGTGATTCAAAAAGAAAGTGCAGAAGATAAATATTAACTGCAAGTGATGCACAATTCATGAATTCATTATCAAACTCAATCCATTCTTAAATTCTCCCTACTGTGTGAAATGTTGTCAAGTTTTTGAGGTAAGCTTCCAAGTTTCATTGTATTAGAAAAGATGCCACAGAATCAACGTTTTGTGGTTTTAAAACAAAAAATGTGTGGCGTACTGCACCTTTAAAGAGTGGAGCGATGTTCCAGACGTTGATACTGCCGGCTTTCATGAACTGTCCCAGAGCGATCTCCAGGAAGAAGACCGGGATTCCTCCGACAAACACGATCAGCATGTAAGGGATCAGGAAGACGCCTGCAGGAGAAAAGGATCATTTCATGTTAATAAAGGGAGTTTCAACATCATACATGAAGTCAAGAGCAGACTTCAAAGTATAGAGTAGTTCAGTGATGATGTATTGTTGTAGGCCGACCTAGAAGTAAGCATCGCAAGGGTTTCATCGACAAAAAGCCAAAGGGATCTTCCCATTGGATTATGTAATTTTGCAGAAAATAAACTCTTTGGCAAACACAAGTTTATGATGCTTACACATTTTGTTCAGTAGGATAATCTCCACATATTAACACCACTTGATGATAGTTGAGGCGTAAATGCAATCTCCAGAAGTAAAAAGCTAATCTTGGGCTATAAAGGAACTACAGCACGGTCACATGACTTCACGTCACCACCGCTAAGCTAAAGGCGGCTAATGTTGGGCTATAAAGGAACTACAGCATGATCACATGACTTCACGTCACCACCGCTAAGCTAAAGGTGGCTAATGTTGGGCTATAAAGGAACTACAGCATGATCACATGACTTCACGTCACCACCGCTAAGCTAAAGGTGGCTAATGTTGGGCTATAAAGGAACTACAGCATGATCACATGACTTCACGTCACCACCGCTAAGCTAAAGGCGGCTAATGTTGGGCTATAAAGGAACTACAGCATGATCACATGACTTCAAGTCACCACCGCTAAGCTAAAGGCGGCTAATGTTGGGCTATAAAGGAACTACAGCATGATCACATGACTTCATCTCACCACCGCTAAGCTAAAGGTGGCTAATGTTGGGCTATAAAAGGAACTACAGCATGATCACACGAATTCAAGTCACCACCGCTAAGCTAAAGGTGGCTAATGTTGGGCTATAAAGGAACTACAGCACGGTCACATGACTTCATCTCACTACCGCTAAGCTAAAGGTGGCTAATGTTGGGCTATAAAGGAACTAAAGCACGGTCACATGACTTCACGTTACCACCGCTAAGCTAAAGGTGGCTAATGTTGGGCGTGATGACGTTTAGTCATCTCATTTAGACGTAACCGCCGTTTTTAAATTCACCAGTGGGGTATTTACTGACATATTTTAGAATAAAATGTTAAATAATCTTCAGCTTGTGTTAACCACAGACCTTATTTCAGGCTTCTAACCAAAAACACATACAAAAAAAACATTGATATCCAGACGAGAGAACAGTAAGTGCTAAAATGCTACCTCTCTATTTGCTATGTTACCATTCAACCCAGTCTCACGGCATTTCGTGTTATTAGTCACGAAATTAATTTAATCTATTGATTCGTGTTCACCAACACGATTTTCACCTTTTTTTCGTGTCACACAGAACGATTTTAAATGCAATGTATTTCTATTGGTAGTATGTTTCGTGCCTGCAACACGTCTTTTTGTCCGGTCGGGTCTTGGAAGACCAGAAGCTGTGTGGTTCATAAAAACATGTTCTTACTCAATATCTTACCCTAAGCCTAACCCTATCCCTTTTATTTTAAATTGTATAATGTCTGAGTTTTTTTGCCGTCAGTGAGGAAAAGAAATGGCTCAGAGCCTCAGAATACTGACATCTGTATTTGATGTCATCTTTTTTTCCTTCTAATTTGTTATTATTTGGTGCAGGCACGAAACATACTACCAATAGAAATACATTGCTTCTAAAATCGTTCTGTGTCAGAATACTGAAATCTGTATTTTTTTAAATGTCTTTTTCCTTCTAATTTGTTATTATTTACATTGCTTTTAAAATCGTTCTGTGTGACACGAAAAAAATGGCGAAATCGTGTTGGTGAACACGAATCAATAGATTAATTTCGTGACTATAACACGAAATGCCGTGAGACCGTGTTGTACCATTATGAAGCATTATACCGCGGTCTGCTCCTTTAACGCTGCCTGTCTTTAATAAGTCAGACTGACTCTGTTAGCAATTTGGGTCTCATGTTTATTTCAGCAGCATCACGAAGAAAGATTTATGTAACAGAGCAGGAAGGAAGTGACTCTTCGCCTTCCTCATCCTTTCTCTTTCTCTCTGTCCCACTGCTTCACATTGTACGTGATAGGCTAAGGGGCGGGACATCTCTAAGCGGTTGACCAATCACAACTGGTTTCAGACAGAGGGTGAAAAGAGGTGCTGCAGCACAGGCAGTATGAGAAAAATAAAGAGCTTTTTGAACATTAAAGCATGGAGACATGTCACAGTAGAGACACTACATACTGATATACACCTGAACATCAGCAGGAGAGGACTCTTTAAAGTAGAGACACTACATACTGATATACACCTGAACATCAGCAGGAGAGGACTCTTTAAAGTAGAGACACTACATACTGATATACACCTGAATATCAGCAGGAGAGGACTCTTTAAAGTAGAGACACTACATACTGATATACACCTGAACATCAGCAGGAGAGGACTCTTTAAAGTAGAGACACTACATACTGATATACACCTGAACATCAGCAGGAGAGGACTCTTTAAAGTAGAGACACTACATACTGATATACACCTGAACATCAGCAGGAGAGGACTCTTTAAAGTAGAGACACTACATACTGATATACACCTGAACATCAGCAGGAGAGGACTCTTTAAAGTAGAGACACTACATACTGATATACACCTGAACATCAGCAGGAGAGGACTCTTTAAAGTAGAGACACTCACATACTGATATACACCTGAACATCAGCAGGAGAGGACTCTTTAAAGTAGAGACACTACATACTGATATACACCTGAACATCAGCAGGAGAGGACTCTTTAAAGTAGAGACACTACATACTGATATACACCTGAACATCAGCAGGAGAGAACTCTTTAAAGTAGAGACACTACATACTGATATACACCTGAACATCAGCAGGAGAGGACTCTTTAAAGTAGAGACACTACATACTGATATACACCTGAACATCAGCAGGAGAGGACTCTTTAAAGTAGAGACAATCACATACTGATATACACCTGAACATCAGCAGGAGAGGACTCTTTAAAGTAGAGACACTCACATACTGATATACACCTGAAAATGAGCCGGATCTGACCCTTTAAATTAATGAATGAATTAAAAAATGCTTCCTCTCCTTTACTCTGAACTGTTGCAAGAGACATTAATGAACAATTAGGAATGCTCTCTCTCTCTCTTTCTCGCTGGTATTTTTAATTGGTGTGATGGAGGGTTCACACACAAACCAACACACACACACACACTCACACAACAGGGGGTAACTGGGTCACAGTTACACCAGGACCTGGAATGAATGGAATCAAACTGGAATGATACTGGGAGGGAGGAGAGAGGGAGAGAGGGTTGATGTGAGCCAGGAGTTACATAACAGCAGCTGCCATTACACACTGAGCTATTATACAATGAGGGAGGGAGGGAGAGAAAAGAGAGAGAGGGGGGGGGGGGAGATTATTTGTAATTTTTGTCAGTAGTGTGACCCTAGTTCAATACATCACAGACCACAAAGTCGGTCACATTTACACTAAAATATATATTGAAGGTCATATTAAGCTCTGCTATACAGACAAAAAAGCATTCTCATAACACCCTTTTAAAAAAAAAATGTTTAATTAATTTAAATCTCTCCTCCTCGATCCAAACACTGGCTTTTAGTGAGATGGAAAAAGAGGAAGTGTCCCGCCCTCTACTCCCTCTTCCTGCCAGTCAGACAGAGGATAGATTTCCATTCAAATGTTGTGCAATTTTTTACGTAATTTAGAGAAAATCAGCAAATGAATACTTGTTTCCACCCATTTTACTATTGCAGAAGAACATGTCACAAAAAGAGGGATGTCAAGATGTCTCGATGCTAATGCTGAATTTGTAAAAATCCACTACATTTAATCTTTTTACATGTGTTTAAATTCACATTATTAAGATATGTTATTCTACTGTACAGTATTTATTTTTACATTCATTTGTATCTCATTCAATTAAATGTTAATAGTTTAAATATTCCTTCATAGGACACTTTCACTATTTTTGTTGCACCATTTTATTAAATGATCGTATTTCTTTTAGTTTAAAGTATATTGTATGTTGTTCCCTTTTTCCATTTCAATCTGTATCTTTACATAGCAAATAGTTGCTACAAAGGTTAGCATTAGCATTAGCATGCTTCTCTACTTACATACACACCGTTATTTTGTGTTAGCCTAGCATAGCTTAGCATCAACACACACCAGCTGCTGGTTCATTCAAGATTGCAGAGTGTGTGTGTCTGGCAGGGGGATGTCCATTACAGCAGCTCAATAAAAATCCCCTACACACACACATATACAAGCACACACACTGAGGGCTAAGTGGTGTAATGCTGTTAGCTCGTCAGTAACTCAGTAATGATGGGATTACACTGTACTATTGCCTTATAGACACACACACACACACACACACACACACACAGTTGTGTCATTTTCAAGATAAATCTTTATATATATATATATATATATATATATACACATATATTTGTAATTGGTCTTTTCACCGCTGTGGGCTGCATGACACAGCGCTTCATGTATAGTACACAACAAAATGACAATAAACTAAAATCTTTAATACCTGCAGTTTGTGTTCTGTTTATGGTGGTATATGGTAGTAAAAAGATGCTACAGCGAAACATTAGTAATGACACGACAAGGAACAAATACTCCGTAACACGTCCTGCACTCAAAAACAAATTAACTAACCAATTTGTTATTTGCTCATTAATTAAAATCCCACTTAGTTTAAAGTGGACCTATCATGCTATATTTAAATGATATATTGTAGGGCCATACCTATATAAGGTATATTTATACGTTTCTGTTTTCAAAATACCAAACAGATCATGCATTTTAGCCATGCCTCATTTCGCTCTATGTGCTGTTTGCTGTCTACGGGTCTGATTCTGCTGACCACGCCCCCCTGCAGGAGAGGGGAGACGTGCTCTGATCAAGTCAAGAGGGGGAGAAAAAAAGATCTCCGTCCTCCGTGTTTTATTATATTGTTATAGGCCTATAGAGTCGTTATTCA